CACATCTATATCCTAAGAGCTCTAGGGACATCATAGTCAGGTTATAATGTCTGAGTTCATCACATCCGTTACAGAGCAGTGGGCAGTCTTTCATCTTCCCAAGAGCCCTAATGAACTAATTTAAGGTGAAGTAAGATTTAAAAAGAGTGACTGGACCAAAATAATCCACTGTAACTGAATGGAGGAGGCCATCCACCCATCCATTTTGTGACAAATATACTGGAATTACTAAACTGCGCTTCTGCCCAGAACATAGAATAGAGAACACATTGAATCCCCAAGCTTAGTTATTCTGAATGTTCCTAATGAAGGACTGTTTGGGCCTGAAGTGTGTTGACTACTGAGTCAATTTTTTTCCTCTCTCTCTCTCTTTTTTTTTTTTTTAGATTCTTTTGGGAGTTCCTATTTGTTATAGTTCAATCACATCCTGGATCAATTTCCTTCTTCCAGAAAACACTGCATGAATTAAACATAACCAAATGTTCATCACAGCCAATAGATGCTCCCCATTAGAAGAATTTTGGAGTACTTATTGAAAGGTTAAATCAACACAGTGCACAAATTACAAGCTGACATTTTGGCAGTGGTGGCAAGTTAAGTGAAATTTAAAATATGATTTGTGAACAGGTTTGAAAATCCAGTGTGTATTTTTTTTTATTTCTCAGAACTGCAAGTAGGTCCACACAACTAATAGATATCTATATGGTCAGTAAGAGTAAACAACAACTTGATGGCACCTAATCAAAGCTCAGAATACCATTCATTGTAACAGCCATTCAACTTACTTGGTATAAACATAGAAATAATGAGAAAAGGGCATGTAAAGTATATCATTAGCAACAGTGATGTAAATTTGGCAAGATGAGAAATTATAGGGGTCCACAAAGTACAGATGTTTCAGAATGGATTAAATTCAATGCAAATTACAGATTCATACTTGTGTGAATGGCACAATGTACAGTTTGGACTGAATTCCTCCAAATGTTGGAACTTATACTGGTAAAACTATTTTTGAGTAGCATTACACTTTATGATTACTGTATATCTAGATTTCCATAATCTGCTATGGTTCCTGATTGCTTAAATGATAGCAGTGGCTAACAGTCCAATTTAACATGTTTAAATTAATTTGCAAAGTTGTATATATCCTTCCTGAAAGAGATATAAAATAATGTTTACCTTAGTAAGGTGTAATTTGACATCTAGAATATGTTCTGTGTGGTGCTGCTTCCAAAAAGTATTTGGACATGCTAATTTCTGATGCCTGAATTTGTGAAATGCTTTTACAGTGTTGCTTCATTTGTGCTATTTGCCAAATTGCTTTACCTTTGAAGTCCTATTTGGTAATCTTCCATAAGCTGGTACCCTCCAGATGTGAGAACCAGATATTTTGAAACAGTATAACTGATATTCCCTAAGGGAAAAATAGATGCTTATGCATTCTGTTGAAAGTACATTTGGGCATTCTGTTTTGATCAGACTTTGCAACAGGGTTTGGTAATTTTAGGGTTTAGTGAAAGAAACACTCAACATGTATAAGTCTAACGATCAAATGATGTGCATATGTGGTGCCCCATCTGTTGAAAACATTGCATGTATCTTATTTGATTGTAAACGATACTCTGTGGCAAGCACTCTTGCTTAGGTTTCTTTTAAAAGAAAAACTAAGATGCCTCCTTTTTGCAGAGAATTAATGTGCATATTACCAGAAATACATCTTTGATATCAAGGACTGTTCTAAAGAGGACCAGTCACTTAGAATAAATAGGGCTGGACTGCAGGGCAACAACATAGCATCCCATGATCATATGCTCACATTTTGCAATATTTTTTGTGATTTTCCAGCAAAAAACACCCATTGGATAAGCTGGATTTGGATGTATGACCATGTGATTTGCTTAAAGATCATGTGATTCACTTAATGGCCATGAGGACTTGTTTAATGACTGTGATAAAAATGATCATAAAATTGAGTCCAAACACATAGTGACTCAACTCATGATTGCAACAACCAAAATTCTGGGCCAATTATGGTCATAAAGTCAAGGACTACCTATATTTCATCTTTGCCTAACTAGAGGTCCTATTGGAGGGACTAAATATATGAGTGCATAAAGATTTAAGAAGTAGCATTTTACCACTGCATGTCAAGAGGGATTTGGAGTCAGATTTGGAGTCAGAGGAGAGGAACAACATACAGCAAGCTCCACAAGTGCCAACAAATGACAAAAAGCAATTCCACCACCACCAAATGGAGAGAAGGTAACACACATCAGCAACCAGCGGATACAGCTGCTATCTGGAAATGAGGGTGTGGAGTTACGGCCCCCTCCTAGCACAAAAGCTTAGTGGGCTACAAAGAGTAGAGCAAAAGTGCTCTGCAAGATTGCTCATGCAGAATAACAGAGAACAGAGTTAGAAGAGACCTTCTAGTCCAACCCCCTGCTCAAGCAGGAGACCCTATACCATGGGTAGGCAACCTTGGCTCTTTTATGACTTGTGGACGTCAACTCCCAGAATTCCTGAGCCAGCATGGCTCAGCATAGAAACCTCTCCCTTTCTCCTCAGCATGGCTGGCTCAGGAATTCTGGGAGTTGAAGTCCACGAGTCATAAAAGAGCCAAGGTTGCCTACCCCTGCCCTATACCATTCCAGACAAGTGGCTGTCCAGTCTTTTCTTAAAAGCCTCCAGTGGTAGATTACCCACAACTTCTGAAGGCAAGCCATTCCACTGGTTAATTGTTCTCACTGTCAGGAAATTTCTCCTTAGTTCTAGGTTGCTTCTTTCCTTGATTAGTTTCCATCCATTGCTTCTTGTCCCGCCTTTAGGTACTTTAGAGAATAGAAAATCCCTCTTTTTTGTGGCAATCCCTGAGATAGTGGAACACTGCTATCATGTCACCCCTAGACCTTCTTTTCACTAGACTAGACATACCCAATTCCTGCAACTGTTCTTCATATGTTTTAGCTTCTAATCATCTTTGTTGCTCTTTTCTGCACTCTTTCCAGAGTCTCAACATCTTTTTTATATTGTGGCGACCAAAACTGGATGCAGTATTCCAAATGTGGCCTTAGGCTTTATAAAGTGATACTAATACTTCACATCATCTTGATTCTATCCCTCTGTTAATGAAGCCTAGGATTTCATTGGCTTTTGGGGGGGCTGCTGCCACACACTGCTGGCTCATGTTTAAGAGTTTGCCCACTAGGACTCTGTAGTTACTGCTACTGAGTCAGGTTTCACCTAATCTGTACCTGTACATTTGGTTTTTCTTGTCTAAGTGTAAAATCTTTTCTCTACACTGAATTTCATTTTGTTAGGTAGGGCCCAATGTTCAAGTCTGTCAAGACCCATTTGGATCTTGAGCCTATCTTCTGGGGTGTTCGCTGCCAGTTTAGTGTCACCTGCAAATTTGATGAGGACTCCTATTCCCTCATCTAAATTGTTTATGAAGGAGTCTCACTCTCGTAAATGAGCTCCACCAGGGCCTCTTCTGTTAAAATGGAGCAGCAAGCACAAGCTTTCTATTGACAACAACTACCTGTGAACTCTCAGTGCCTTGACACCTGAACCTCACAATCCTGGTTTTGAACTTGGATGCTTGGACTCCATCTAAAAACTCTCCTGTGGCCACTTTGATTTGGAACTTTTGAAAGCCAAATTTGCTGAACTTTGGAGAAACCTGTCTCTATACTGCAAGTTTGTAAGCCTCATTTAATAAAGAAAACAAACCCACCCCTTCACGCATTTGTGAGTGCATGTCCTGGGACAGGATATTGCACAGACTTGTATTTAGGGGGGAAAAGCAAGAAGAATTGTGGAACAACCAATCATATTGAGATGGTTTAATGATATATCTCCACATGAACATTAATTAAACAATGCCATCAATTACTGAGTGCATAACAGTGGCTTTGTTGTGTCTTTCATCAACCTATATTACACTTACACAGTAGTGGGTGGATGGGAGAAGCACATGAGCAAAAGAAGGGATAACTGCAGCAAGCTATACATTGTGTACTATGCATAAAATATAAATAACAGGCTTTAAAGTCATAGAGAATTCCTGTAGCATTTCTTTTATTTCAGAAGCAATATTGTGTTATTGGGAACTGCACACTGGATAACTCGAATTGGGAAAATTTTGAAAATTATACTACTTTTTATACTTATATATAATTTATCCAGTGTCTGTGTCGAGACAATGGGTGTAAAGCATTCCATAGGAACAGAAAGCCAAATTGATGTTGATGTCTTCAGAATTTTTGATGATGCTATTTCTTGTCATAAAAATACTTAATATTTGTTCTATACACAGTGTTTCATCTAATCTTGAAAATTACCACATTCCACAAAATCAGAATTGTGTTGAATTTAGAAATGCTTATAGAATGTGTGTAATCCCTAAAATGCAGTTTCATAACAGACGATGATAAAGACTCTATGGAACAATATTCCCATTTATCAAGATTATATTTTTATTTAGATTGTCAACATTTCTACTAGCTATTTAATAAAATTCTTTATTCTAATGGTAGATTCAGGTTTTTGACAAAAGGGTACAAAGGTGTTGATAACTTTTGCCTAGAGTTCTGTCTGATTCAGTGGAGCTAGTGACTTAGTGGCAATCATGTTCAATTCTGATTTTTTTTTTCAAACTTATTTGTTCACATCTGAGCATATTTGCTTGTTTAAAATCTCCAGAAGAAAAGAAAATTAAATATTTCCATATGCATTTCTCCTACATTGTACATTTTATTCTGGATTTTTTCTAGTGTGCGCAGTTTCCCAAACAATTTGATGTTCATTCTTCTTTATAAAATTGTTTTATGCACAGTTTCCCCAACTATATTGGAGAGGGGAGAATTTTTTTAAAATGAAGATATTGACATATAATTTTGTTCTGATTCATGTATAACTTTGTTCAGCAAAATTAAAATGCAATTAAATAAATTTCTTGCCAATTTGAGAATAATGGAAATAATTTTTCTGATCCCCAGTGCCCCCCTCCTTTGTGATAACTTTTGAAGAGATATCTCAGGGGCTGCCACAAAGAAGAGGGAGTCAAGCTATTCTCCAAGGGGCCTGAAGGCAGGACGAGAAGCAATGGATGGAAACTGATCAAGGAGAGAAGCAACTTATAACTAAGGAGAAACTTCTTGACAGTGAGAACAATTAATCAGTGGAACAACCTGCCTCCAGAAGTGGTGAATGCTCCAACACTGGAAGTTTTTAAGAAAAGACTAGACAGCCATTTGTCTGAAATGGTATAGGATTTCCTGCCTAAGCAGGGGGTTGAACTAGATGACCTCCAAGGTCCCTTCCAACTTTATTATTGTTGTTGTTATTGTTGTTGTTGTTGTTGTTACTATTATTATTATTATTATTATTATTATTATTATTATTATTATTATTATACCACATGTTTGTAAAAACAAATGATCCTATACATATTTTGTTACTGTTTTGGAAGACAATTATTATTAAACAGCTGTTTGTAATTTTACCTGTAAAATGTTACATAATTTAACAGGATTCCAAATCAATTAGGGCAATTTGGATTCACTGAAATTTATGGAAGATTTTGATTGCCATGGCACACTGGGACCATAACAAATATATTCTCTTCTGGTCCCTCCAGCTTTTAATTAATGTAGCCAATTAGAACTGGGGCAAATCTGCCTTTTTAATTTGCAATAGATATTTGGAAAGGTCCTGTTTACAAAAGTCTAAACAGGAAAGGTGGAAAAACACCTTTTAAAGAAGTTATTACTCCCACGCCATCACAACAAAAGGAAAAAAAAGCAGGAAATTCCATGTCTCTCACATATAATGCAACCACTTCTCCTCCCACAGAATATTTTGCTTAAGTATAAGCGAGGTTCATTACAAATACATGTATGATTCTATATCTTCCTGTTAACTTGCAACATTTTCTGAAATCTTAAGTATACATCATTGTCTTAAGGTCTTGAGAGGAGAATGGGAAGACATGGAACAGGAACTTAGGAGACAATTCTACGGAAGTATTATTTAAAAAAAATACATATGCTTTTTAACATTTTTGCTAAAATGAAGGACTAATATAATTTACATTTCAAATCCCTTCCTGCTCTATGCATAATATTTATTATTTCTTTGGTTATAATTTATATTTATAAAGCAGTGATTCTGGTAGTAAAATGTAATATGAAGGAGATGAAAAATGCCTTCATAATGCCAAAGAAAACTTGACAATGAATTTAGGGCCTCAACAGAGAGGTTTATCTGGGGACCCAGAAAACTTTGGTCAGTGAGTGTTTATTTCTCAAATAATAGATGCATTGCAAGTATGATGTTCTTTGAAGAAATGGTGGAGGGATTTCGTATAGTTAGAGGAAGTAAAATATGGCCCTGAGGTTTACCAAATGAGCAGCTTTAGCTGAATGAGGTTGGGAATAGCCTAAGACCTGCCCTTTGGATGATCTTGCTAGAACCGCTGAATGAAAACATTGATTTTATCCCTCTCAATGTTCTGTAACATGGGGGACCTATCTTTTCCTGAATCATTATCTTGAATGAAAAGAGCAGGTTAGAATAATGAAGAGCAAAGTCAAGAATGGAGAACAAGGAAAATAGATCTCTTTAAAGAGAACTGGGTAGGATTTGTCATAGAAAGTGGAAAAATAAAGCTTATGTTGGGGGTCTTCTTTTCCTTCAGAAGCTAATGGAGACCCAGAACTGAAGATGTTGGAAAATGAAACTGATAGAGGAAAATAGGAGATTTAGAGCAGCGATGGTGAATCCATGATACATGTGGCACCCCATGTTATTTTTTATGGATCTCTGGACCCTCTGGAAGTTGTACAAGAATAGGGCATGTTTTCCCACTCTTTTTGTCAGGCGCAAGGCCATGCAGGAGCATCCGCCAAAGTTTCCACGTCTTATGTGATGCAGAGCTGCCTTGGGTAGGCATTTTGAAAAATAATTACAATTATGTGTTTATTTATTAATAATAAATGTAAATAATTTGTGGAGGCCATGCAAGAATGGGGTATTTTTGTGCATGGTCTCTGTACCCTCCAAAAATCACATGAGAGCAGGGCATGCTTTAGTGAGGTTTTCAGAAGCTGCAGAAAAGCATTTTCCGTAGCTGCTTCAAGAACGAAGGGCGTGTATGATCCAGAACAGCCTCAGCTGGGCTATAAGGGCTTGTCAATAGAAAAAGAAGATTGCTTGAAGGTAAGCATTGCATAGCAGACCCTGAGGAGTGCTGGACCACAAAGGCAATTGCACTATTTCTGTAGGTTAGTATGACTTGGAGAATGGCACAAGATGCCCTTTTTGAGTGGCAGCAGTGGTTCTAGGGCTGAAGTCAAGGCCTGGGCATTTATTTCAGGTCCAGCCTTAGCACTGCTACTGAGTGCCATGCTTCAAGGTAACCTAGATGGGCAAGGAGGGAGATAGATAATTGTTTCTCTTTTGCTTGGGAGAAGCGATATGCCAGAATCCTCCCATTCCCCTCTATCCAGCCAGAGCTGAAGAAGCTCATTGGATGAGAAGTGAAATGTCTTTAAAGAAAAATAAGGAAGTCCAGTTGCCTCATGAAAAAGCATCCTTTTGCCAACAGGATCCATATGCCAACAGTTACATTAGGCATTTTCTGAATTTTTGATATGCTGAGCCCAAAAGTTCACCATTACTGATTTAGAGTAAAAAAAAAAAGAGGAAGTGATTCAGTGAGAGCCCAGAGACTAAGAACTAATCATTCAAAAAACTAATTCTGAGGACTAATAAAAGTAGTAGTAGTTTTAACCGTTCAGTCATGTCCAACTCTTGGCAACTTTATAGGCAAATACTTTTCATGCTATTCTGTCAGGCACAGCTTCTTTCAATTGTTGAATGTCTATCTTTGTAATAATTAATAAATTACTGATGATTCAGAAGACTAATTGTTAACTTTCTGCCAGGTCAAGGAAAAGAGAATATGCAGTGGCCATTTCACATAAGCCCAGCTGATTTTGCAGCCGATTCCAACAATTATTTTTGTTCTTAAATATATATTTCATTTTTATTTTTCTTACACTTTTTTCTTTAATTGTAAGAAAGGGTTACAAAGCGTGCCTGGCTGAGGAATTCTGGGAGTTGAAGTCCACAAGTCATAAAAGGGCCCAGTTTGAAGATCCCTGGACTAGAGACATAGTATATTATGCTTGACTACACTAGCTCATGCATTTAAAAGACTCCACATCTTTTAACTTAGTTAAATTCCCCTGGGAAAGCAGCCTAAAATAATATTTTAGAACTATTTTCTCAATAAATAATCCTCTCAGTGAACTAACTTATGCCAGTATGATTTTTTTTTTTTTTTTGTAAGTCTTTCTTGGAGAACATCTCATTCTCCTTATTTCAGGTGACATCAAACCATTAACAATCTATAGATTAAACCAGTAAGAAGCAAAAGCTGAAACATTGCTTCTTCGGCAGGGAGCAGTTATCCTTGGTGTAACCAGCTGAAGGTATCATTATGAGACCAGAGGTTTGATCAGAATAGTCTAGTAGCTTTAATCTTTACACGTCTTTCTGCAATGCTCCATGGTGACAAGCTACAGAACAGCAGAGTTGAGCTGATGTCTAACCATGACTAGTGTACAAAAGTCAAACTTAATCCAGATCTTTATATCAATTACTATTTATTAATTATAATCAGATCAGCTTTGGGCCATGCATTTTTTCAAGAGAGAGGTAATCACTTTCTCTGATTCGGCACGTTCAGACTGGTAAGACAGAAAATATGATCGACATTTTGTTTTGACTGAGTGGAAAAACAAACAGTATGAAGAATTTGCTAATTTTATAAATCTGAATTGCCAACATCACCACAGAGCTTCAGGTATCTGGTAAGGACAGGAAGCATTTAGGAAAGCTTGAAGGGAGGCGCATGGTGTCCCACTGCTTATTATTTTGGGGTGTGAGATACAGATCTCCTTCCCAGAAATAAAAAGAATATAAATAAATATCCAATTAAGGTTCCAACAGATGTTCTTCCCATGTCAGTTAATACAGAATAACAGTCTATAATACAGTGCTTTCCAAACCTAAGTAAATTACCCAAAATTGGGTAAAAGTGGTTTTATTTTAGATAGCAATACATGAGCCCATTACCCAATCACAGTAGGAACATTTACATTGACTTAAAAGTGTTGTTACCTACATTAGATAAAAACGGCTTTCTATTAAACAATTATAGGTAATGAAGGAAAAAGTTTGAGAAGCACTAACGTCTAGATTTCAGGAACAAGAAATTGTGAGATACAACTGGCAAAAGAATTCATAGAAGCCTTTCTCACTAGCATACCAAATTTCAAATGTGCATTACTATTACTATCAAGAGCACCATGTATGTATTTATTATAACAGCAGCTGGGGCCAATTAATTTTTTCAAAAGTTCGCAAATGTCATCCTGTGTAGATTTTAAACCAGTCTTTTTAATGTGTACTAATCCAAAAACAGAGGTTTCATTTTACTACCCTCAACAAAGTATTTAATAGTTGTTTTCCTCTTAAATTCTTTTAGCCACTTCATAAGGGTTGGCAGATATTCTGCCCTATATATCATAGTAATTAAGTAAAGCTAAATAGTTACATATTATAGAAAGGCAAAGGACCAGATAGAAATCAGGCTAATTTCTCACATAAACTATAACTATTTTTGCCTACTGTCCGTATAATCAACTGCCCCTTCAAGAGCAATTTTCATTTTATGAAGGCCAATGTTTAATGTTTCTTCTCTACTTTGGATGAAGAATACTTTGAGATACTAGTCTATGGAGATTCTCAATCATCCATAATTGAAGAAGTTCTTGGATGAGAAGCAAAATATTTTCAAGGAAAAAAACCAAGAAAGTCCAGTTGCCTTTTGGAGAAGCATATTTGGGACTTTGGAATTAAAGTACATATATAGAGGTCAGATCTTCAAAAGATAATGAAATCCCAACTATAGAAAATACAAAACAGAGTATGGCAGAGACAGGCTAGATTAGATTCAAGATTCCAGATACAGTCATATCAATCCAGAATAAATTAGCTCAGAAATTGCTATAAATTTATTCCCATTAAATGCAATGGAGAGACAATTTAAATGAAAAACACAGGAAGAGCACCTTTACATTTACTCTTCCTGCTCTCCTGAGCCATTTCTAGTCAGGCCTTAGGATTTATTGGCATGCTGACTTTGGAATGCCTTAATTTGAATTTAGGATTGCTCGGTCTAGGTGCTTCCAGGTAAACAATTTTATACATTACCAATCCTATGCTGGTAGAAAGAAGATGGAAAAATGGCAGAGAACCATATGATGATTACAAATGTAAGGCAATGTCTGGAAATATACTCTCTAAAATTCTGTGAAGGAGCAGAGGTTTTGTATGTTAAACGTCTCAACCCTTAAATTGGGATCAAAATTCAGTTAAAATTAAAACATTTAAATCAGACTGATCTCAATGGGATGTTATGCATGCATAGAAGCATCAGGTTCATATTTGGATTGAAACATCTTTCTAGGAAATATGCTTTATTGTATGGGCAATGAGGTCATTGCCCATACAAGTACAAGATGGAAATGATTTATTTTTCTATCAAGAAAGTAGTAATAGTATTGTGTAATCCTTAATATACTTTTGAGATGACCACTTTTTTGAGCAACTGAGACCAAGTCCAAAATAAAAGACTAAGAAATCCTTCATGGGAATATATTACAATACTTGCACTTCATTTGAAATGTCAGTAGTTTACTTAACTAGCAATATGCAACACCCAATGAAACATAAAGAGCACAAATACAATTGTCTAAGAGTGACACAAAACTGTTCTTTGTATGACAAATTTAGGAATGAATTCCATTTTTTTTCATCTGTGTTTCCTTACTTGTTCTATCATGCTTCCTCTTTTGTTTACTTTTTAAGCCTCCACCCACAAATATCATGTAATCTCTCTAGTGAAGTCAGAATGCCTTAAAAATATATTCGATTTGTAAATCTGAGGGATAGCTTAAGCTGAAAACTCTGGAAAATATGTTTTCAGTTCTTATTAGGAATTGTGAACACTGAATTATTCAAGCATCTTTAACTGCAGCCTAACTATCCATGTGATTAAATACATTAGCTTCCCCACATTTCCTATAAGCGTAGATGGAAATAATTTTGTATATTTTGCAGCTTAATCAAAACGTTTTGACTAGACAAGCCAGACAGAAAAGTGCCTGGAATCTGTCTCAGTATTCAAACTGCCTGAAACTGAATGACCTGAGCATGCAAAATCTTTAACTGGCATTTTACAATAGAAATGAGCATACAGTCACTGGAGAAGAAGCAGGGCTTGAATGTTTTAACATGTTCAACCCTCTAAGGCTTCCTGCTCTTGAGGTTCAGCCAAGATAGCGTCTCTGTTCAAACCTCTTGTTTGCCATTAAGACTGAGGAAACCTCCTCTTAACTTCCTTTCCTCAGGAAGCAAGTTGATGGAATCAAGGGAGTAATTTTGGTTTGGGGCTTTTTTTTTCCCTCCCTCTTTTCCTATAAGCGTCTGGGCATATGTGCTCACCTCACAAACAACACTACAAAAGGCATGAGGGGAAGGAGGAAGAGAAAGAGGGAGAGACAAAGCCAACAGGTTGATCTGGATTACATCAACAGTCACACCCTCCTGACTTTATGAACATAGAACAGGTGTTTGTAATTCATTAGCTAAACTGAGCTCAGCAGAGACAGGAATTAATCTACATTGCTGTTCCACAACCTGCTGCTTCTCTCTCGGTAGCTGACCTAGTGCTTCCTTGCTCTCCCTCATCGTAAGGATGACAAGTCATTCTGGGAACTTCAGTGCCGGCTCCCTTACTTCTCCCAAAGCCTCCTATAGCTGGAGAAGAGAATGTTCTCCTTCGCATTCTCCTCATTCTTCAAGGGATGGGGCCTGCAGCAGCCCTACCATGGGAGAAGCCAGTAAAAAAAGCTTCAGTTCCTCCAGCCTCACAGGACATGGCTACAATTATACATACCCCAAAGTGTCTTTCAACAGAGATCTTTTGACACCGCTCCACCTGGATGTTGATCCAGCTCTCCAAGAAATAAAGACCAAGGAGAAAGAAGATCTCAAGATGCTCAATGACCAATTTGCTGCCTTAATTGGGAAGGTAAGATGAAGTTGCTCCTTATCTTGAGCAGAGAATAGCCTTGTAATGATGTACCATGAGGAAATGGGAGGCTAACTCAACTGACAGATTAGAGCATCATAAGAAGATGATGGTAGACATGATGCTGACAATGATGGTATTTCTATAAATATCAAGTTGTATTTCTATAAACAAGTTACTGTTTAATTTTCTACTTCAGCCAAATTGTCAGTGGCCAGATTTAATTTAGACCAAAAAAATACCAACTTTATATTTTCCAGATAATAGTACATGGACTGCTTCTTAGCAACAGATTCATATTCCTTCAGATATTCCTCGGGTAATTATCTGGGTTTTGATGGGAAACCACCTCTGTAGGTAAATGGAAGCAAGGAAAGGGAGATTAGCCTTTCATTCATTGAAATTTCAAATGTGGTTGCCAGCTCAGAGAACTGAAAGCATATGCAGTACTCTCAAAATATTAAATGATGTTGTGACAATAAGCATACTCTTGCGAGTATGTATATTTTTAAACTATTATGCACATGTATAGTATAGAAGACGTACAATGAAATTACATGTTTACAATCAAATTTGAACTGAAATATTCAACATGCAGAGAAGAAAAAAATATTGTCATTGGCTTTAATTTTCACTACTGACACTTGTATATCATTTATACCATTATGTTTTCACACAGCACAATAGCAATGAACAGCTCATTTTCTGGAGCATCCTCTGGGTAGTAACAAATTGAGGCTTTCCATTCATTGAGTAATTACTGTCTGAGCACAATATCAATTTAACATGTTTTATTTTACCAGCTAAGCTGTCATGACTTCCCCAATGAATTCTGGGAAATGTAGTTTGTTGAAAATGCTAATACTACAGCAATACAATTCTGATACTAGCCCATAAGAATGCAGCTTCTATGGATTCAGCTAAACATTATTTTGAAAGTGTTAGGGCAGATATTTGTCATGTTACTGGGAATGAACTGGTTTTCTTTCACATTTCTAATTATGTGTACCACAGCTGGCCTTGTTTTGGACATTGCTGGATTTAATTTTATACTATTTGAAAATAGCAGGGGTGCTACTTATATTTAAATCCTGGTGTAGCATCATTCCATTAAACATCCCTATATGAAAGTTAAATGGATTTCCTTATTATAAACTGCTGATGTGGAAGATGCAGAATATGCAGAATAACATTATAGCCGATTATGGAAAGACTCCAAATAAATAAGGTGATTTACTGTAATAATAGCATTCTAGAATATGCCACAGCAGATTGGGATGAGCTGTCATGTTCCCAAAGCCATCCCTAACTGAAAATTTCTCATATCTAATACATCACATAGTTTTAGCAAAGTTTATTCCTAAATGCTGTAGTTTTCTACAAGGAGGGAACTATATTCGAGGCAGAAACAAGGGAGACCATTAAAAATATGCCTATAGTCCAAAATTCTCTATTTTTATTTTTCGGAAGTTTATATTCTGCAATTTTGCAAAAATCAATAAAAAATGAAAAATATAATCATAAAAATAAACAATGGATTGCAGTAGTAGTAAAAGCAGTAGTAAAATAATTCCACTGAAAAGAGGATCCCTATTCATAAAAGCAAACTGATGGTATTTAAGGCAAGGAGAACAGAATGCTTTAATGTGACGGCAGCAGGAAGTAGCAGAAGCATCCACAAACAATATAACAGCCATCTCTGGGGAAATCCTATTGTCCATGTCAAAAGATGGCAACAACTGGAGAAGGCCCTTCAATGAAATCACTCTTAATGGACAGATTTAGGTAGGAGAAATGGGTCTTCCAGATGTCAAAAATGTGGGCTGAGTAGAGCTTTAGAAGCCTTTAAACAAACAAACAAACAAAAAATCGGCAGGAATTGACTTTTTAAAAGACCTTACTTGTCTTTCATCTCATTCCCTATAATACTGGTATACAAAATGTAGTTTTTCTGGGGGGGGCTAAAGTAGGCAAGGCTGATATGTTCAATGTTTGGAATGATCATATGTGCATGTTTTTATTTTTTGGTATTGGGATGTTAAGAGTCAAAATGTTTGCCTTCTCTTTTGCGCAAGCTTAAGGACCCATTTTAAAATCTCCCCAACTGCCCATCCCATTCCGGGTCTTGGCCGTACCCACTGTACAAATCTTAGGGTGACTCTTGAGATGTAATAAGTGCAATGGCTATAAAGTTTGGTCATTGATGGGAATGGTTTTACTACTCAGGAAGCAGCCATTCTTCCTAAAGCAGCAAGGTTATATCTCTGCTATATTTAAAAAGAAAAAAAATGACTTATTGGTAACATTTGAAGGCAGAGATGTAATGTTATGAGAAGATTCATGCCAGGGTTGACCTTGTTCCTTACAGATTCCAGTGTCTAAAAATGAAACTGATGAAAGAGAAGTATATCAGTAAGAATATAACAGGGCCTCATCTGGCTTGCAAAGACTTATTTGAAAACACCTATTTTGTTCATCAGATAATTGAGTCTATCATCCAAAACCCCTTTAAAGTTTTACAGAATTATGAAACTTTAGAAATTTAAAAAAGGAAGCTGCAAGGAGCTTAGGGTTTTTTTCTTTCTCTCTCTCTCTCTCTCTCTCTTTCTTACCAGAAAGGTGTTTATGTATTGAACCCATAGTGAAGGTGGAAGATTGTTTTCAAAGAAAAATAGTTTTGGCAGGTTACTGCAAAGCCCTCCTGCTCTGCAAACAGATGTTAATCTGAAGTATTGCTTCTGGGGATGCCAATCTTCCAAACTCACACATACAATATGTATATTCACACACATTTCAGAATGATATATCTGCATTTTAATGTTAAGAAGCTCCATTTATTTCTCAGTTACAATACTATTCTTGTGTTTAAAAGATACACACAGATAAATAAGCAGACATGACCTCCAGTGCCTTAAAATGAGATCTGATGTTGAGTTTTTGAGCTTTGGAAATGCTAAGAAGCATTTAAGAAACCGGCCTTTACATATTTTAAGTACATTCTTTGCCTGAATGAAAAACACATTAGGAGCCAATGTGTTATCGCAGTACAATGTGGAATTTAATGCTTTCTATGGAAAATTAATGTTTTCTCAGTGGTGACACATAATGATGAATGATTTCCCTTAAAAAACAATTTAACCACTACTACAAATATTGCCTTGAATTTAAAGTCACAAAGGAATGTATGGTTTAGAGTATTTCCCCCCATTTATAAAGGACAGAAGGGACATCTGGCCATCCGCCTCTACTACCTTCCCCCCAAATCCTCTGAAGCACATGTTGTTTGTTTAACTGATATACCAGTATTCCTCAATAGAAATGTCTGTATGGAAATTGGTCATTATGAGTAAAAAAAAACCCACTTTCTTTAAAAAAAATTGGTCTGTTAATAGAGGACTGGGCTTAAATCTAGAAGTCAGGTGATGTAATATGAAGCCAAGGACTGGGATGACGGCTAATTTAAATCTTGTATCTTTCCAGCAGCCATAGGAATGGGTGATGTGATATAATTGTGCTTATCATTCTTCTAGTCATTCTAGCTCTCTGACTAAAATAGCGGTCCCCAAACTTTTGGGCACAAAGGACCAGTTCCAAAGAGAAATTTCTTTTCCTGCGGACCAGAGAGGGTGTTGTTTTGCATGGTGCTTGCGTACCACAGATGGGACTTTGCTTGTTTGTGTGACCCAGTTGCTGGCATGCTGTGAACCAGTGCCGGTCCATGGACCGGGGGTTGGGGACCCTTGCTCTAGAAGTCAAATCTCATAATTTCTTGTGCAATATGTATTGAATGGAAATAAAAGAAATCAACAGGATACTGATATAGTATGTAGCCATTTCTATCATTGCAGAAGTGTTTTTATTTTACTTGTAATCAGATATCCCAGTGATCATATCTGTGATCAGTCCATCTTTGCTACAGTTTCTACATGTAATAAATGAATGTCTGAACCAAGTAGCAAAGAGTGAGATTGGAAATGGTAATGATCATATGGCAGTGACAGGGTAGTCTTGTCCAACTTCAGTTCTCTATGTTAAAGTAACTGATCACAATCGATCTTTAATATGGTTGTAACATGGAGTGATATAATCATAAATCATTTTGCAAATTTAAAAATACCATAGAACCTATTTGCAACGTTTCCAAAGAATGCCACAATGCTATGGATTGCTTTGGATTTTGAGCACTGTTTGCCATCAAAATGTGTCTCTGCTATAGTCAATGTCATCCTGGGCTTCGCACTTAAGCCATCTCTACATATATTGAAAAGCTTTTTTCTTCTCCAATTGGATACCAGTATCAACCCGTAGGCCACTTTAAAATCCCATTAATTATTTTAAGGATTTTTCTTGCTTTCTGTGTGGAATCCTGGATGCAATCCTACTTTCCTTGAGTCACATAATAAAGATTGAGGTTATGTTCAGTCCTGATTTCTCAATGTTAATTGGACCCCAAATGGAAGTTCTAGAAAAGATTATTCTCCAAAACACTGGAGTATATGGGTAATAGCTTATGGCTTAGTGATCTGTCATTGAGCATAATGTTGTATTTGCTGATCAGTGGCCTCTTTATAACCTAAGTTCAACCTTTTAAATAAACACCAGTAATGTTTTCATGGCTGGATATGGACTATTATACCCAAGCCATAAGGCTAACAATTAGCTATACTGCAAGTCTGGGCAAGAATTACTTTAACAATGCTTTCTGATAAGGTTCTTACTTTGCCACCACACTACCTCATTGCAAGGAATTTTGTAGACTACAATTTGTAACTGTCCTTGTTTTCTCGGTGCTACTTCTTTTTTTTATTAAAAAAAAGAGAGAAAACCCCGCATCCTTTAAGGAGAGAAGAGTTGTACATAACTTTCTAACTAGAAGAATAAGTGGATATCTGGAAGTATACTGCTCAGACACTAAATTCAGTTGGAGCTATACATTTTTAAGACATCTGCTTCTCTTATTCTTTACCCATATACCTGAAGCTCTTGAAAGTATCTCAAAT